AGGACAAGGAGTCATAAATCCAAAACTATTTAGTTTTTAATTAAAGAAAAATCTATACAAATGTATACACGTGTAATAAAAAGATAACATAACACGTGACATTTAAGACCCATTTAAGGCCAAGGATTTTCGTGGTTTTGGGCAGCAGAATTGGATGTTTCAGCTATTATTTCTTGTGAAACGTTCTCTGAACCGTCGTCGCTCTCCTGATCCACCTCCATCTCGTTCCCAATCTCCTACAGAAAGACTCGGCGCCTGGTAGCCTAGATCTACATCCTGATCACGTCACTCACTGTAGTGCTTCCGCGCCCGATTTTTTGTCTTCCTTTCGGTTTTCCAAAGTTTTTTTTTAACTCAGTAACGGATGGGATTTGTAATGTCACGAAATACAATACTTCACTCAAAATGTAATCAAGTAAAATTAAAATTACCGATTTTAAAAACTACTTGAAAAATACACAAAAAACCTACTCAATACAGTAGCTTGAGTAAATGTATTTCGTTACTTTCCACCTCTGACAGCAGCTCACCGAAGTGACTAGACCCCCCCATCTTCTTAGATGTGGTGTTAGATTGTTTCATGGGACAAAGTTGAACATGCGATGTAAAGTAGTCAGACAACAGCTTGTATAACTTTCTTTGTTGTCCGCACAAAATAAGCTCTTAACGCTCATCGGACTCATTTAGCCATTTTACTTCCCCAGTGTCATGTGATTTATTAGCATTGCAAGGTCTCTGTTGCTGTGTGTCTATTCTGTGTTTACTGTTCTTACATTAGTCACTAGAAGTTCAACATAGACACTAATGACAAACCCCTTAAGCTTGGTTTATACTCGCTACGTTTAGCAGGCTTAGAGGGTGTGCACACCAAGGGTGACCTTATGAAGACTAATTTACTGGTTGAATGGTAGTGGATCAACGTATCTATTTAGGGTTGATCACCTGTCAGCAGGTTAATTAAGTGTAATGTTCTAACAATTAGGACCTGTTCATCTTCTCATGGGGTTCCTCCTCATGTTGATCCTGTCTAAGTGACTGTCTGATAGGTGTTTTCTATCAGTAGCGATCAAGAAGAGAACATTCAGAATATAAAGGACATCTTTATGCAGTCTCAGATTCTCCCTAGAAATATTTGATTCTCTGCCAGTTAATGTTGCTCATTCTTTAATTGAATCCTCGTCTAAAGCTATCTTTGTGTTTTAACACCTAATTTGTCTAACAGATCTAGTGAACGCTTTTATTTTCATTGTTTGACAATAATTATGGCAGAACTCTGCTGATTAAATCAGGAAATAAAACAACCTGATTGGCTGAAAGGAGGGCGGAGGCCGAGGACTCTGAGAAAACCTGCTGCTGACCAGGTGTGCAGAATGTTACTATGGTAACAGAAACAGGTTGAAGACACTCTGTGAAATGTAAAAGTTAGTTTCCCAGATTTCAGGATTAGAAAACTTTTCAATAAACCTGCTTTATGAAACAAATGGATGCTTCTGCTGGTCGTATTAAAATGGTTCTGAGTTAGCTGTTTGTTTTCTTTCTCTTTAAAAATGATAATAAAAAATAAATAAACATGGAATTAAAAGACAGTTTCAGAAGGATTGTACTTGAAATGGACAAATTTTTGACTCATTTAACAGTTGTTATTTAAAAGGAAGTGTCCAGTCAGCAAGGAATAATCGATGGATCATTATTTGTACCTAAAACTAATACGTTCGCAGTGATTTCATGAATTTAACGTCAATCAGCGAAAAATTATAAATAATTTTCTTCATGATCA